CCTGAGCACAATAATAACATAAGTTCTCAATCATCATACATACGCAGCGATTTTTTTTCTCCCGGTGATGTTTTTTTTTTAGCTTTCTTAAAATCTTTTCTTTTTTAAGCGCATAATATTGTTACGTTACATATGTTTGAATATAATCTTTATAAAACTTCAAAAGTATTTTGTAATTTAAAATAATTTTAAAAAATTAAAAATAATAGCCACCATTGATAGGAGTCAAACCTTTAGTTCCTTGTTCAGAAGTTCGATGCCATATCCACTCGAGCTACACCGGCATATTATATGGCGTAGATTTTATAAGAATCTAGTAACTTTTTTGAGGAAAAAAATGTTATAGATCAAAATTAAGGAGAACTTGACGCAATCTAATTTTCAAGTGAAAATCAAACTGTAAAACATGATAAATGTTTCAGATTGTTTTAACATATGCTTTAACATTACTTAGTTTAAAGTTTACGTACGTTAGATATTTGTTCACGTTTTCTTATAGTGCTGTGACTCTTTCTTGCCAATACCTCGCTGCCAAGGTTTTTGTGTCAAATACGCTCCAAGGGACACTACTACTACTATTAAGTTCGGCAATATTATATATATATATATATATATATATATATATATATTATATATATATATATATATATATATATATATATATATATATATATATATATATATATATATATTTATATATTTATATATAGTATGTCTTGTAAGGCCATTTTAAGATATGCACTTTTTAGAGCAAATTGTGCAATAAAATGTGCTTTTAACTAGTTCATTAGACAGCTTTAACATGAAAGTATCTAAATCTTCAATAAAATTTTTGTATTCAAATTGAATATCATTAGCCAAAAAAAAAATTATTTGATATCAAACTAACCATTAACTCATTTTGTATTTCTATATTTTATGTACTCAGTTTCTGGTCAATCAACAGTTTTCAACTGTTTTTTACAATTATTAGAAAAATAAGAAGAGTATGACCTTAATGACCAGACTGTTTCTTACGACTATGATATTATTTTAACAAATGTTTTTACATAATTGTCATTCAAACTTTTAAGTAGTTTTTATAACGTTAGTAACTTTTATTATTTTACCATTTAAAAGTTTTGAATGGTAAAATAAAAGTAAATTTTTTTTTAAACTAATATAAATACTAAAAAGTGATAAAAAGTCGCTTAAGCAAATTTGCTTAAAGCGTTCAGAAAATTGTTTATTGTGTATGTAAATTTGCCCTGTGTAATGCTTTAAAACAAGATCTGAATATTATTTATATTCTATAGAATTTATATTCTATTGTTTATATTCTATAGGATTTATTTTCTATTGTTTATATTCTATAGAATTTATATTCTATTGTTTATATTCTATAGAATTTATTTTCTATTGTTTATATTCTATAGAATTTATATTCTATTGTTTATATTCTATAGAATTTATATTCTATTGTTTATATTCTATAGAATTTATATTCTATTGTTTATATTCTATAGAATTTATATTCTATTGTTTATATTCTATAGAATTTATATTCTATTGTTTATATTCTATAGAATTTATATTCTATTGTTTATATTCTATAGAATAAAAAACTTAATCTTATGTAAAATTTAAACTTTTTTGTGCAAAAAATTTGAGCATTAATCATTCACTAACATCTGAATGGTTATTTTTAGAAAAAAATTATGTATAATGGTTTAAATTTATGAAAATATGGATTACAAAGTTTGTTTTATCTGTACAGAAACCAACAAACGTTTTCTTGTTGCTGTTAGAGAAAAAGGAATGAGAAGTATTTTTGAGTTTTTAAAGCTTTGAACTTATTTACAATAAATAAAGTTTTTGAATGGAAAAACATCATAAAAGTTCATTCTATTTACAGAATAATTCCTGATTATTATGTATGATGCTCCTGAAGTGTTCTGTTTGTTTAATTTTTTTATGTTCTATTGTCTCATTTTCAAGCCCATTTCTCAATATCTGTTGCGTTTAGGGATATCTTTTTTGTCAGAATTTATTTTTTGCAGTATTTAATAAATATATATAATTCAATTAACAACAGACCATAGTGGAATGGTTTTATGCTAGAGTATCAAAAAGGTAAAAGTTAGTTTACTAATGTTCTAATGTCTTATTTTTAAACTTATTTCTCAACTTCAGTTACCTTCAACCATACTTATATCTGTTGGAATTAATCTTTTGCATTTTTTATTAAATTTACTTTGTTCAATTAAAAATCATCAACTATAGGCAGCATTTTTATGTTCTCTATAATCAATATTATTTTTTCCGATAGAAACTTCTTGAGCACCTAAATAACTAATAAAAAAAAATCTCCAGATCTTTTTTTTAAGGCTATAAAGCAGGATTTAAAGAAAATATAAAAAATAATATTATTTTGTGAAATAATTTTAAATAATTCTTTAATCAACAAAAGGGCCGAAAAACCCACATGTTTTAGATAAAAATAGTATTACTAAACAAAATTCTCTTAAATATCTCTTCACCATTGAAACAATTTAACTATTATGGTTTTTGTTACGAGTTGTCAACAAAAGATCAAAGAAAAGTAAAAACTAAATTTAAAAAATATCTTTTAAACTAACTCCTTTTACTTCTTTATGCTAGTAAAACAACATATTTTTTTAGAATCCAAAAACATGCAATCTTATCTTTGTGAATCTTAAAAATTGTTGTGGCTTGTGGAGTCCAGACTCCAGGTTTAGGAATTTTTACAAAAATTGAAATAAAGAGTAATTTCTATCTAGGATAAATTCTATACTGAATCTTTAAAAAATAGTGCAGTTTCGGCTAAACTGCACTAATTTTTAAAACACAAATATCAACTCAAGCTTTGAACAATAGAGTTACATTTCAAGATTGATGGTAAAGAAATCTTGATAGGCATAGGAAAGGAATCATACATTCCAACAAAAGCCATTGACAACTGGCTATTAAAACTGTTGTGGACAAATAAATCAGACATTCCTAAAAGTAGAAGAGTTGGTTGCACGAATAACAAAATTTCCATCTTAGTTAAAAAGCCAAAAATTATTTTGTTGAATCACTCCCGATTTTTAAAATCTTCATCCCGGATTGATATCAGACAATCCTGGGATTTCAAGATAATAAAATATGAATTGTAGGATTGCAATCTTTACATAATACATTTTGACCTTTATTTCACATAAAGTGATTGCTTTTAAAAGCTCCAGAATGAAAAATGCTGTCCTAGATGTTTTAATTATACGAGCAACATCAGAAATAAAGTATAAATCTTTTATCCTTATCATCAGCAAATAAACAGTCAGATCAACATTTTTTTATTCTTTAGTCAGATTAAAAGACAGATTCTCCAGAGTCAAATCTTCAACACAATCTTCTTTAAGAATAATAATCATTAAGTATTTACTTGTTTTGTCGCATATTGTCAGAAATGATCATTTATAGTAAATTCTCAGTATTAATTTTTTCATAGCATACTACCAGTATTTTTTATTTTAAAGCATTCTTTCAATATTTATTGGGCATTAAACAAAAGGCAAAAAAAGGAGTGTCTAAATCTAGCAATATAAACAAACCAATGTAAAGCTTGATACCAGATCTCTTGTATATATATATATATAAAAAGTTTCATGTGGTATTAAAATATTATAAAGATTTTATGCAAACTAACAAAAATCTATTTCAGGATCATTACAAACTCCATAAAATTAAGATAATGTTATAAGCGAGTTGATAGAAGTCAATAGTGACCCTAAGTAAAAACTAGTTTTTCTCAGTATTTTGTTGGATTTTTCCTTCTTGAAGTAAATAAAATTATACTTATAACGGTACGACTGCATTTTACAAATTTTGTCTAGGTTGATTCTTTTTTCAATCTTGACTACACTATATAGTAAGAATTATTACAAAATGCTATGTCAAAAAAACTGAAAAGAACTTTAATAATTGACCTAAAAAAATGAAAGAACAAATTTTTTTAATAAAAAATAATAAAGTTTTCAAACATCTTATCAAACTTTTAAACATCAATTATGATTTATTTTTTATTATATATCAAATATGTTTCTTAAACTTAACATTTAACATAGAAATAAAACACTAATTTTTTTTATTTCCAGACTAATTTTTTTTATTTCCAGAACAATTTCTCAGCTAAGTGTGTACATAAGAAAAGTTTAAAAACACATGTCCCACTAAAGTTGAAGGTGGGCTTCAATTGAATTGTTCAAGTTTAAAAATACGATAAAATTTAAGCTGGCACCATTCGACTAATTCATTAAACTTGAGCAGAACCTGTTTCAGAAAAAATATTTTAGAAAAATTTGCTATTATTTGAAGCAAAATGTTTTAGGTGGAGTTTTAAAAGTTATTTAGAGCAACAGAACTATGCCTATTTATAGCTTTTCAAAACAAATTGTTGGAACAATCAAGTTGCAAAATAAGTGTCAAAAGATGCCAAAGATAAATCTTCATAATTTCTTTGTTTTTTTAATGTTAACATGCTTTGAAGTCAAACTTAAGAGAAAAGTAATGCACCAAAGTATAAAACTTTGAGAATATGAGAGATTTAAAATGATCTAAATACTTTCTGAAGACAAATCTTTTAAATTTAGAGAGTTTACACATTTAAAGAGTTACACATGTAAATACAATTTTGTGTAACATTTCATTTAAGTAAAAGACTAAATATGAAAAATATTGAGAAAAAACACCCTGCAGTTATATTTTTAGAAAAAAACCTGCATTGCTAATATTAAAAACACCCTGCAGTGCTACTTTTAAAAATTATTGTAAAATAAGTTTTTATAGTTTTATAAAATAAGTTTTTGATATTTAAATAATTTTATACTTATTCTATTATTTAATTAATTTGTAGATTTTCTTAAACACATGTGATAGATAACCAAAAAAAGTGCATTAAATATTTATGGATTAGCAATAGATAAAAAATCTATTTAAGAGATCTCATCAAAATGTCTTACCCAAAAATGAGTCTACCAAGGAGAAATAACGCAAACATAGCATCTTTTCCTTTAAAAAAATATCCAGCTGCAAAAGTCATTGAACCAATTACACAAAGTGTTGAAAAAAGCAATGCACCTACTAAAATTGTAAAAACATAAAATATTTACTGTCAATGAATTATACATGTAAATAATACTTTTTTTTACAATAAAAATAGTCAAATACTTATTTAAAACTATATTATTTCCCAACTCTTTCTTATTTCCCAACTCTCAGAGTCAAAATTAAGTCCCAGGTAACACGCTTAAATAGGACCGCATTGGCACAACATCCATGCTGGATTTGCTATGGATGAAATTTTGAAGTATTTTTGGACATAAAGATGACATTAACACGATAATCAACAAATTTAATTTTGATGTATTTTTGACAAATTCATATTTATAAAGCTTAGAAAAAAGTTTAATTTTTGATATTTTTTGTTTCTTTACTTTTCTATATATATATATATTCTATAACATAAATATTTATATATATATATATATATATATATATATATATATATATATATATATATATATATATATATATATATATATATATATATATATATATATATATATACATATATATATATATATAAACACATATATATAGGGAATGTTCCCGGGAAATTCTAATAAATAAATAAATATATATATATATATATATATATATATATATATATATATATATATATATATATATATATATATATACATATATATATATATATAAACACATATATATAGGGATTGTTCCCGGGAAATTCTAATAAATAAATAAATATATATATATATATATATATATATATATATATATATATATATATATATATATATATATATATATTGGAGCTGGACAAATTAGCGCATTAACATTAATTAACGCCAACAGTTATTTTATCACACATTTAAGTACTTTTTATTTTGAAAATCCAAAAGTTTTCGCTTCTTGTTTTCTCTGCTTATAAATGATTATTATTATATTAATTTATATTAGTATTAATATATAAAAAAAAATTATTTTGTATTTTTATTATGTTTGTTTATATTTCTAATAATTTGTTTATATTTCTAATAATTTATTGCAGGTTGGAAAAGCTACTGGAGCCCTGCAGGTATATTTTATGTCATATATTTTTTCAGACTGCCTGATTGCATGTGAGAGAGAATTAATGTGTCTGTATGTGTATGTAAGCATGAATATGAAAACATTTTTGTGTGTAGAAGTGAGTACAAATCATTTGAATGAAATGGGTTTGATTATTTTGCAGGTATGTGACTGAACCTCTGGGTGGAGAAAAATATAATTCATGCTCTATGGTTGTGCCTGCTTTTTGCCATCTCTCTCTGGTGATGAAGAGCACAGATGATCATCCTGCCTATGTGGTCAAATTCAAGTCTACATTCAGAACAAACCTGGAGACACAATGACAACATTGCATATCTAAAAATTGCAACCACATTAAACTGAGATTCAAAGACTTCAAGTGTATACCCAGAGTTGAAAGAGGTGAGGTGTTGGCCTCAGTCAGCTACTTACTCAAAGAACAAAAAGTTATTGCAGATAAACCTGTGGAAGCAACAATATTGAAACCATCAAAGATAAAGTTTGCTCTATTATTTTGATTCTGATGATTCTGAACACAAGGAAGATTCAATCAAGAATGGTGTGAATCAAAACAGAGCAGAGCCCACCATTAGCACAGAGGCCTGTCCATTACAGTGGTGGTCCATACATGCAGGCTCACACAGCAGGGTGGCCCCAATTTCACAGAAGTACTTGGCAATACCTGCAACATCCATACCTAGGTTATTTTCTCTTACTGGTACAAAACTTTTTCTTGCTGGTATTGTACAAAAGAATTGAGTTTCTTTATCATCTTAAACTTACGGTTTGTGGTAAAAAAACAGCAATTAACTACTCTCTGACATCTACCATAACAAATTTAAGTACAGATTATGTCAAAATGCATTAATTTAATTTAGGAAATGAATATTTTTTTAGCAATGCTTTGGGCTTCTAAATTAATTGCATTTTCCAAATTTTTTGTGGCTTTCTCTTAAGAACTAGTAATATTGTAACATAAAATTTTTTCTATTGTGAATTGGTAAATAATATTTATTTTATCAGCGAAAACCAAAATATTAGGTTTTGGTTTAACTTTTTTAATATCTAACTTGAATTCTTTTTGAAATTCCTTATTTATAGGGTGAACAAGATTAAACAACAAATAATCAAATAAACAAATAACATTTACCGACTCACAACAGAAAACTATGAAAAAATTTTATGCGACAACTACTAGTTCTTATGAGAAAGCCCCTAAAAATTTGGAAAATATAATTAATTTAGAAGGCCAAAGTATTGTTAAAAAAATAAACTTTGATAACAGAATGAAATCAATTACCCCTGCCCAAGCTTTTGTAACACCAAATGACCATAAGTCAAATTTTCAAAACAAACTTGGAAAAA